ATCTATCTATCTATCTATCTATCATTTATCTATCTATCTATCTATCTATCTATCTATCTATCTATCTATCTATCTATCTATCTCTCTATCTGTCTGTCTGTCTGTCTATCTATCTATCTATATGTCTGTCTGTCTATCTATCTATCTATCTATCTGTCTCTATACGTATCTATCTATCATTTATCTGTCTATCTACCTATCTATCTATCTATCTATCTATCTATCTATCTATCTATCATTTATCTGTCTATCTACCTATCTATCTATCTATCTATCTATCTATGTATCATTTATCTATCTATCTATCTATCTATTGATCTATCTATCATTTATCTGTCTATCTATCTATCTATCTATCTATCTATCTCTCGAATGATCTATCTATCTATCTATCTAGCTGTCTCTATCCGTATCTATCTATCTATCTATCTATCTATCTATCTATCTATCTATCATTTATCTGTCTGTTATCTATCTATCTATCTATCTATCTATCATCATTATCTGTCTATCTATCTATCTATCTATCTATCATTTATCTGTCTATCTATCTATCTATCTATCTATCTATCTATCTATCTATCTATCTATCATTTATCTGTCTATCTATATATCTATCATTTATCTGTCTATCTATCTATCTATCTATCTATCTATCTATCATTTATCTGTCTATCTATCTATCTCTCTGTCTGTCTGTCTGTCTATCAGCAGTTTTGTGTTTTAAATACCTTTTTAGCGGGTAACAGAAGTCTTAAAACAAAAATATTTTGAAAGTTGTCCTTTAAACCCCCCAAAAAACTGTTATTTTGTGTCTATTTTACATTTCCTCTTAGACCTTGGTAAGTAACCACACAAGTTACTTTCAGGGTAGAGCTGTCCATTTGTAATACGCATATGATCTGCTGAGCTTTTGTCTCCGCTACACCCTGTCCACAGTATGTGGTGAAGTCTAGAGGAATCTCCATGTCCTAACGGAGCTCTTAAACTGTGGTCGAAGTGACTTCAAACATCCCTCTTTCAATAGAGGCCATTTGACCCTTGACCAGAGCCAACATCCAAGCAGGCAGACATAGAATCAGAGCAATTTGTTTGATTTCTGTTAGTTACTAGCTGCATAAGAAGGAGGTCATGACTTTGTGCAATAATTATTGCCCATGGCAACGGAACCTCAATGTAGCATCAGTTTTCCAAATACTTTTGCTTAATAAATGTAAGTTCATAAACAAGGCTCGATTGTTGGATTACAACAAAGCTAATTATCTACACTTGCTACCCAGCGAACGGAAGATGACATAACTAGGTTGGCACAAATCTTTTATTGAAAAAATGTTGCTGATAAATAGCGCGTTCCACTAATACGACTGAATGGATCTTATTAATTTAAAACTATTTAGTAATAGTTGGGGAAAAAAAGCCACTCCAAGTTTGTGCAAGAGCACGGTTGGGTCACTTCTGTAAGCGGGTCCTTTCCATTTACAGTTTATTCTATCCAACATAATTACATTTTTTACTTAAAAGAAATCAGTGTTTCCATTGTTGACCGTGAAAGCACACCATCTCCATGGACAATGCGAAGAATTTTAAAACATAGATAAATCATTGGCTCATAAGGATATGATTGTAAGCAACATAGTTATGTTTTTTGGTTTTCCGAAGAAAGGACGGTTTGTTTCTAAGATCATGAACAATGTCTTTCTACACATCCGTGATCGAACATGAACTCGCAACAGCAAGGAAAGCCTTTGATATAAAAAATATTTAGCATTTCTCCCTCCACATCTGCAAATATGTCCTTTATTTCCTTGATCTCTCGCAACAGCGGTTTAATAGAAGAATGTCTTCCAATCGAGGGATAAAAAAAAAGTTAGGCACGTATCAAAGTTGTGCTATTTGGTTTTTGTTTTTTGAATTAAAACAAAGATTTCCTACTCTTATGTCACAATTTATTAGCTGCTAGAGAGCCTTAGTATCACAGTTCCATACTCTTCAAGGCTGCATTTGGAGTAAATTTGACGGAGTGTGGAAGCTAAAACAGGCAATTCTCTGTGACTACGTCACCTGTAATCATCTTGAGCTCTGCCGTTGATTAATTGTGACAGAAGGCAATATTTTCAACATTATTAGAAGAGAAACTTAATATTTTGAGACATCAAGGATCTTTGAGCTTGTGTCTATCAAACGGGAACCTTAATTTTCCACTTCCTGGATGGATGGTTTTACCATTTAACTGTTTCATGGTTTGGCTGACAATTCCATAGTGTATTTAGGTGGTTGATAGCAATAGGATTATATTGTTCCAGCATTTATCGGTTTGCTTGCACTCTTATCAAAAAGATCGAATTAGTGATTTGACACAGTGTGTTCTCATGGGTGAACATGTATTTTTTTTTACAAGATAGAGAAGGGCTAAAATTGATTTATTTTGGTGTAACTCGTGCGATCCTCATATTTTCTGATGAATTCAAATTGATTTGTTAGCGTGCTCTACTAGACAACAACTGAAAACAAATGTATTTTTTAATGGTAGTCATTGAATAAAGATTGATTTTTTATGCAGGTGGGAAATGTCCCTGTGAGTTTCAACATTAACAAAAGCTATTAACTGCCGTCATTACTTTTTAAAAATTTCACCTTATTGAAGGGACCCTTCAAGCACTATAACCACCTACAATCCATGCATAACTTTGATGTAAAAATCTCTCTGTCTAATTCTAATTGTTTTTATGTGTTCACCCATTCCAATTTATGACTTTATAATTCCCCTTGTCTCTATATGGGCACACGTTCTATCATTGCTGTCTAAAGAAGCATTGCGCATGCACGGTTTGGAGTAGTTTAAGGAACACAACTTCTATTACTTAATAGAAGTTGTGCAGTGGCTGCTATGAATTTATGTACATTTTATTGTTTTTATTTCATTGGAGAACTTGCAATAAGAGAACCACGTGTACTAATTAACTAGACAGGAGTTTATGGAATATGCAAGGCTTTACCTTCGAAAACAATAGTAGTTGAATAACAATAAATGAGTAACAATTGAATACAGTTGTTTTCCTAATATATTATCTTCATAATTCTTAAAATAAATTCAAGTAGGAGCATCCCTTTAAGAGGGGAATTTATACAGTGTATACAGGTGCATGTGCTCTGGATAATGTTTAAATGCTTAGAATGATGTTAGCAATCGTCAGACCCGTTTGTTCAGATTTACACATGTGCCCGATTGCGTACTTTCACATAGTGACTTAATAATGATGTTCTGTTCATCCCTTTACACGTCTGTTTCTGTTTTGTTCCAGAACAAGCTCAAACCTGTTTCTGCTGTTGATCCAAATGATGCCTCAACCTTTATCTGTTGTCCATCCGAAACAAGCCCAAACCTGTTTCTGCTGTTGATCCAAATTAAGCCCAAACCCATTTCTGCTGTTCATCCAAAAGAAGCCTCAAACTGTATCTGTTGTCCATCCGAAACAAGCCCAAACCTGTTTCTGCTGTTGATCCAAATGAAGCCCAAACCCATTTCTGCTGTTGATCCAAATGATGCCTCAACCTTTATCTGTTGTCCATCCGAAACAAACCCAAACCTGTTTCTGCTGTTGATCCAAATGAAGGCCAAACCCATTTCTGCTGTTCATCCAAAAGAAGCCTCAAACTTTATCTGTTGTCCATCCGAAACAAGCCCAAATCTGTTTCTGCTGTTGATCCAAATGAAGGCCAAACCCATTTCTGCTGTTCATCCAAAAGAAGCCTGAAACTTTATCTGTTGTCCATACGAAACAAGCCCAAAACTGTTTTTGCCGTTGATCTGTTTTGCTGTTGGTCCGAAAAAAGACCAACCTTGTTTTTGCGCAGTTGATGCAAATAAGCCCCAAACTGTATTACAATTCACAATTTAGTGAACAGCTCTGCATATACGCCCTATTTGTTTTTAAGTGGACCATATTTAGTCCAGGCTCTCTCTGTGAGAAATGAGCAGAGCCGTCTCAGATTATGCCTGGTCTATATCAAGGGTTTTCCTTAAGATCGGTGAATAAGTGAACAATGCATAGACTTCTCCCGTTTTGTTTTTTAAATTTTCTTTGTTGGCAAGTACAAAGTACAATGCATTGGGATCAGTGGACAGTAATGACACCAGCACCACTTTATTAGATATTATTAAACATAAAAAATAAAAAACAGAAAGGAAAGTAAAGGGGAAAAAAACATATAACACCACAAATTCTTCTATTTTGTACCTGGGTACGAATAGGGAAAATGTAAACTGCAAGTCGAATGTATAACTATGCGCCAATTACAGGGAGATCGGCTCACCGTAATCTTTCAAAGAATCGGTAAAATAATTTCCAACCTTATGGACGTTTCTGACCATGTTAAGGGTATTTTTTTGTACGTTTGTGCAATAAAATATTTTTTTATTTTCCAAAATTAAGGGCTATATTCAAGAGATAAGGATGACATGTAAAGAGATCAACAGTAAACATGTAGGAAATGAATTATTTTTTTTATTTTGAGTGATCTACATAACATTTTTATAAGATACATTTGGCCTGCTTTCATCTTTTGCTCAATGTTACGCCAGGCTAAGAACAAAACAATAATAACACAATAATGTTCCTTTAAGATGTGTATCGCATGGAATCAGAGAAAAAAAAGGTAGAATATAAATCGTCTTTCTACAATCGGATTAGTTTACCTAAGTTCCTCACCTCTATGGCATGAATAGACTGTCAGTGAAACAATCCACCTTCTGATTAATGTATCTTCGACACAGGAGACAAATGCGCAGTGTGTGTATGAAGAAGATTCAGAAATGAGTAATACACATTTAGAAACACATGATTAATGTGCAATATTGTACATTTCATATCTGCGAGAATAGTTCCCCCTTTAAAATACTTCACTATCGGTTTAACTGAAGATGCAAGAGTTAGCAGTCGTTCAGATGGGATCTTATGGCTTTTATTACAGTTTCAGGGGATTATTAACTAAACAACGCATTTAGTTATGTAAGCTATGTTTTAATTATTTTATGCCCTTTGGTAAGCTGTCCAGGACCAGAGGCGTGCCTAGGTTAGAAATGTTTATTGGCATCCCCCCCAAATTGTAGAATTTATTTTTGTTGGCTCTCTACAATGCTCCTAATACCTTTTTGTTAGTTAAATTACGAACACGTACACTCACACAAACAAACATACACACTCATATTCACATACACACTCACACTCACAAACGCAAACATTCATACAGACACATGCTCACACTCACATTCATACATACACATTCATTTGCACATACTCAAATTTATATACGCACACAAACATTCATACAGACACATGCTCACATTCTTTTACACACATATTCATATACACACTTATATATTTAAATATATATACTCATATACATATATATATGTTTATTTTTAGATCTCTGGTGTCTAGTGGTTTGTGAAGGAGCTGTGCAGTCAGATTGCAGACTCATGTCCAGGGTCGGCGCAACCATTAAGCGAACGAGGGATTAGCCGAGGGTGCCGTCCTGCTGGGGGCACCCACTGGGATGTTTCCTGGTCAGTTGCCCCTGTCTGGGGCCGCAGCGCTTGGCATGTGGCTCTTGAGACGCCCCCAGCCCCGATTCTCCAGGCGGACGAAGGTGGGGGCACCTAGAGGAACCCTGTCACAGGGGGGCCAGTAGGTGGGCATCTAGCCACCTCAGGGCGCCCCCAAAGCTGTGCTAGGTAAGGCAGAGCAAGCGCCTGCTTACCTTGAAGGCAGGTGCCTGCTCTGCCAACAAATGCTGGTGACAGGAGGAGAGGGGGAAGGAAAAGCCAGACGGCAAAGGAGGCAGCCTCTCACTCCTCACTCGCGCTCCCACTGTGATGCTGGGAGCCGGAATATGATGTCATTCCCACCCCGGCATACTAAACAGCGGGTGGGAGGAGTGAGGAGCTGCCCCACACTGGACCCCAGGGAGGTAGGGAGGCTGGATGGGCCTCAAAAAACAAAATTGCGTGAGTCTGTGTGTCAGTGAGTGTGTGTGTGTGTCAGTGAGTGTCTGCCTGTGTGTGTGTCTGTCAGTGAGTGAGTGTATGTATGTATGTATGTATGTCAGTGAGTGTCTGCCTGTATATGTGTCTGTGTGTGTGTCTGTCAGTGCGTGTATGAGTGTTTGACTGTCAGTGTGTTTGTGTGTGTGTGTCTGTCAGTGAGTGTCTGCCTGTGTGTGTGTCTTTCAGTGAGTGAGTGTATGTATGTCTGTAAGTGTCTGCCTGTGTGTCTGTCAGTGTGTGTGAGTGTTTGACTGTCAGTGTGTATGTGTGTCTGTCAGTGAGTGTCTGCCTGTGTGTTTGTCTGTCAGTGACTGAGTGTATGTCTGTTTGACTGTCAGTGTGTATGTGTGTCTGTCAGTGTGTGTCTGTCTGTGTGTCTGTCAGTATGTGAATTTCTGCCAGTGAGTTTCTGTTTTTGTGTGTCAGTGAGTGTTTGTCTGTCAGTGAGTGTGTGTCTGCCAGTGTATGTCTGTCAGTGAGTGAGTGACATGAGGGGGCAGGCAAAATGGATCTTTGCCTAGGGTGGCAGAAATCCTTGCACTGGCCCTACTCCTGTCAACAGCTCCCCTGCCATCCACGAGGTCTTCAAATGGAATCTGCAGAGTAGTCAGATGCCTTATGAATTCCCCTGTCACTTGTCACCTGTGGCAGACTGCTCCACCACCCCGTGGTTAGTTCGCTACCGGCCAAAACCAGTCCTTGTTGACTTTAATGAAAACCCCTCTTTGGAGGTTAAATTATGGAAAATTGCTCAAATTCAATTTTTTTTATTGTTATTGCACTAAGTCTAGGTCCAAGGATGTGAGTAGCCATGACTGTGATGAGTTTAGTCCCCAACAATAAGAACAGATAGCATCTAAAGGTTTCTTTGAGATTACCATGCCACCTACATGTGTGGTGGGTGTTTAGTTTAACTAGTGAGGTCCACAATGGAAATTCTGATTTAGCTGCAGTCCTTATTTTTGTAAAACATGCAAATGAATGTATACATTGCAAGCTTTTCAATGAAATGACTAAAATATATAACTAGATCTTTGTTCCTTCTAACCTCAGGAAAAGGTTGAGTTGTCAAAGGTCCTATGTTTTCCTAGACTTTTATAATTTCTTAATGATGATAGTTAGGTGTGAGAGGTGCTGGCATTCAATATCTATCAGTCAAAAACTGGAAGAGTAAATTTATTGACGAAGTAAGTTTCTTAGCTCATCCTCACCCACTGTGCCAGCATTGATCTCAGGCAATTGTTTATACAACCTACCATTCCAAAAATAACAAAAATTTAAAAAGAACTTTAAATTTCAATGATAGCACTCAAATTATTGTAGATGAATTATCTTATTAAACCGTTTTCCATACGCCCAACAAACAGTTTTCTGACTTGAATTTATGAATTCTTAATTCTGTTGGGTAGGGCGTGAAAGTGCTGCCTGGCGATATGCAGTATATTCACAAAAAAACATATTCTGTCTCAAACAACCAATTCAATATCCTGGTAGCCAGAGATACAGCAGACTTCATAAAGGGAATGCCTAACATATCATTTTGTTATAATTTCCTATTAGCAGCATTAAGTTAACATTATCCCATTTGTCTTAGATCTATCCGACAAATGTAATTAATTTGTCCAAATCCCATTTCTGGGTTTACATTTTGTGTTAAATCTGGAGGACAGTCACATTCCTTTTTCAGTAAAATTCTTCTGCACTAAAGACTTTAATTAGAAGTGCCAATCAAGGTAAGTGATTCTCCTCATTCATTGCTGTATAGATTCCCATTTGGATAGTTAATTAGAATCCTTATCGACAGGTTGAGAGTTGTGAGTTAGAGAAAGTTACTGTTACAATATTCTTCACTCACTGCCCTTATTAAGCAATATCTTCCTAGCGTCAAGTAAATCTCAGGGTTTCTGTAGCAGGGTTATCTGTGTTTATAGGGAGAAATTCTATTTATTAATAATCAAAATAATGTTCTCCAAGTCTGCCAGGGTTCACACCTTTTTCCTCCATAAAATATTAATTTTCCGGTATCCAGAAAATAATATCTTGTAAAGAATTTAACAAGAATCTGTCATGTTAAAGCTATAACCCTATTTGCCTTTGAGCAGATCATTAAGCCATGCGGAGTAATGTGCTATTTCACAAGGTTACGTTTTTAAATAAAATTATATATTTTTTCGACTTTGTGTTCTTGAGATGAAGTTCTCTCTGTGATGAGGTTTGCATTTTATTTGTCCTTGTCTTCTTCAATAAATCAGTAGGAAGTATTACCTTGTGTTCAGTGTAAGGTGAGGACATGCAGCGTCAGTGGTGGAACTCATATAGTAAGGGGCCCTGGTGCAAGAAATCTTTTTTGCCCCCCTCAAGTGCGAGCATGGCTAAAAGGTCGTACAACTCCCCCAATGCTATGCCCGATGGGGATCTACAATTTGCCCATCCTTGCACGGTTGTATTTGGGAGCAGTGTTTGTGCATTTGAAAGTAAGCATGTTTTTATATAGAGTTATGTGTGCATGTAGGTGTGTATTTGTATGTACTGTTACCATTGGAATGCAGTGGTGTACTTGTGTGTAGTTTCTACAATTAAATGCAGGGGTGTGTTTTATGTAGTGTTGGCTTTTAAATGCAGGTGTGCTTTTGCGTGTATTGTTGGTCTTTGAATTCAGGTGTGTTTGTATGTAATGTTTGTGTTATATTGCAGGGGTGTGTTTGTATGTAATGTTTGTGTTATATTGTGGGGTGTGTTTGTATGTGATGTTTGTGTTGTATTGCAGGGGTGTGTTTGTATGTAATGTTTGTGTTGTATTGCAGGGGTGTGTTTGTATGTAATGTTTGTGTTTTATTGCAGGGGTGTGTTTGTATGTAATGTTTGTGTTGTATTGCAGGGGTGTGTTTGTATGTAATGTTTGTGTTATATTGCAGGGGTGTGTTTGTATGTAATGTTTGTGTTGTATTACAGGGGTGTGTTTGTATGTAATGTTTGTGTTATATTGCAGGGGTGTGTTTGTATGTAATGTTTGTGTTATATTGCAGGGGTGTGTTTGTATGTAATGTTTGTGTTGTATTGCAGGGGTGTGTTTGTATGTAATGTTTGTGTTGTATTGCAGGGGTGTGCAGTGGTGTGTTTGTATGTAATGTTTGTGTTATATTGCAGGGGTGTGTTTGTATGTAATGTTTGTGTTGTATTGCAGGGGTGTGTTTGTATGTAATGTTTGTGTTGTATTACAGGGGTGTGTTTGTATGTGATGTTTGTGTTATATTGCAGGGGTGTGTTTGTATGTAATGTTTGTGTTGTATTACAGGGGTGTGTTTGTATGTAATGTTTGTGTTATGTTGCAGGGGTGTGTTTGTATGTAATGTTTGTGTTGTATTGCAGGGGTGTGTTTTTATGTAATGTTTGTGTTATATTGCGGGGTGTGTTTGTATGTAATGTTTGTGTTGTATTGCAGGGGTGTGTTTGTATGTAATGTTTGTGTTGTATTGCAGGGGTGTGTTTGTATGTAATGTTTGTGTTGTATTGCAGGGGTGTGTTTGTATGTAATGTTTGTGTTATATTGTGGGGTGTGTTTGTATGTAATGTTTGTGTTTTATTGCAGGGGTGTGTTTGTATGTAATGTTTGTGTTGTATGTGTATGTATGTAGTGCTGGATTTTAAATGCTGGTGTACATTTGTGTACAGTATTAATGTTTGAATGAAGGTGCGTGTTTGCATATTATTTTGGCGTTTTAATGTAGGGATGTGTTTGCGTGTTATGTTCATGTTTGATTGCTGAGATTTATGCACATACACTGACATACATATACTTACACAGCATATAAAATACACGATCCAGCTCACTCGCTTATTCACCAAACAATGATTTCAAGTCTTAGAGATTGTAATAGTTTTATTTAAAAACACCTCACCTAGGCAAAACATAATGAGGGTTTAGTTACATTATATGATCATATGTTGCATAAGCCCATCAAGCATTAGGCTGCTAGAGTAGGACCTGCTAAGAATGGGGTACATTGACGTTGTGGCAGGCTTATGCAACATATGATGATATAATGTAACTAAACCCTCATTATGTTTTGCCTAGGTGAGGTGTTTTTAAGTAAAACTATTACAATCTGTGAGATTTGAAATAATTGTTTGGTGAATAAGCTGGATTGTCTATGTTGTATATTTTGGTCCCAGCGGCACCCTATAATGTATGCATGTTCAGGCGAGTGCAGCCCTCTTGGTTTCATTTATATACTTACACATATATACATACACACTGACACATACACACATACTCAGATACACACACCTTGACACATACAAACACCTTAACACACATACTTCAACAGACACATACACACACCTTGACACAAAGATACACACTGACACGCAGGTACACACACAAACTGACACACACAGATCCGTACATGTCATAATCTTTATATTTGTTGTACCCATTAAAGGAATACTCCAGGGGGAGGCATAAAACAACCCCCTGGAATGAGTTGCTCTGTCATTGTTGCCAGTTTCAGGATCCAATGCTAGACAGGTGGTAGAGAAAGAGCAGTCTTGTAACTCATATTATACTGCATGGATGGTCCTATCAGTAACGTACTAGCTGACATATACAATGTGAATACACTGATCAGCCACAACATTAAAACCACTAACAGGTGAATGGAATAACATTGATTATATCATTACAATGACATCTCTCAAGGGGTTGGCTATATTAGGCAGCAAGTGAACAGTCAGTTCTCAAATTTCATGTGTTGGAGCAGATAAATGGGCAAGTGAAAAGATCTGAGTGACATTGACAAGGTCCAAATGATGGCTAGATGGCTGGATCAGAGCATCTCCAAAAGTCTTGAGCTGTGTTCCCGGTATGCAGTGGTTAGTACCTACAAAAGGTGGTGCAACCGGGGTCAGTGTCATGGGTGCGCTAGACTCATTGATGCATGTGGGTAGCTCAAACTGCTGAAAAAACATAATGCAGGCCATGAAAGAAAGGTGTCAGAACACACAGTGAAACGCAGTTTGCTGCGTATGTGGTTGCATAGCTGCAGACTGGTCAGAGTGGCCTTGTTAACACCTGTTCATCACTGAATATGCCTTCAATGGAAAGGTGAATATCAGAACTGGACCGTGGCGCAATGAAAGAATAGGTTGCCTGGTCTGATGAATCACATTTTCTTTTAGATTAGTTGAAAAGGTGCGGGTGCATTGTTTATCTGGGGAAGAGGTGGCAGGAGGATGCACTATGGGAAGAAGGCATGCCTGTAACGAGAATATACCCCTACACGCAGGATCCAGCTAAACAGAGGCAAATACAGAGGAGAGATACGTCTACCGGACCTTAGAATGGCCGGACTCGACGTATATGAGAGGAGACAGAGCCAGGAACAAACCGAGGTCAAGGGCACAGAGAGACAGCGTAAACTAGGACAAGCCGGGGTCTGGTACACGGAAAACAGCAAGCCGGCAAACAGTACAGATAAGGATAAAGCGAAAACGAAGTCAGAATACGAAGCCAAAGTCAATACGAGAAAACACAACTGAACACCACAAGCGCTAAAGGGAA